AATCAGCAGTTTGTGTAGAGCCATCCAAGAAAAAAGCACCAAAACCAGAGGGCTTTTCTCCACCTCCTTCTCTGAACATAATTTATTTTATGATGTCCTTGCGAAGGAGGAGTGACAAGCACTGATGGCAGCAGTGTCAGATAAGTATACATGATACTTTCTATGAACTGCAGCCAGCTCACCAAACCAGCATGTGATTAATGACAGGAAAACCATGGCCTCGGTTCACTTCTCTGTCGATCATCTCTGCGGGTATGCACAGCATTTCCCTTTAATCCCTTGTGGAGGGGATCTATCTGCTGAGCTTAAATTATGCTCAGAAATCCATGCTCTGTGTAATACGCTGGGGCTCTTGCTTTTACCAACAGCAGGATTGCAACGACAGAAAGTAAACAGGAGTTTATCCTCATAGCAAGGCTTGCAGGCTGCAAAAAGGGAGGGCATTTTCCTTCTGTCTGACTCAGACTTTCCAGACCAATATCTTTCAGTTGCACATTAAAACTGGCAAATGTTGCCAGAATTAGCTTATAAATTCTGTGCTTTAGGAGACAGAAAAACTTTACTTTAGAAAAAACACCATTTTTTGTCAGCTGCCTGTCTTTTAAGTTGAAATGAGAGGGGGGCAAAAATTCCTTTAATTCAAATAGAAATCATGCTACTCTTGTGATAATCATGGTTATGGTTGCACTTGCAAACGGGTATCTCCCCGATGCAAAGAGATGATTTGTTTCTGCATTTTTATCTCATTAAACTGTGTCCTTCTTGCCTGCCATTGTATTCCAACCAGCACAGCTCCCAGCCAAGGAAAAGCACTCACTGGTTTGCCAAGACAACATTCTTTTACATGACTAGCTCTTTCCCCTGTAGTTATTAATGTGTCACATATCATAGGCTCAGATTGTCTAATATTATGGGAAAATCTACTAGAAGGAGAGAAAAATAAAGGAAACTTCCAGGGAAATTGATTAAAGGGAAATAAGATATTTGACCCGATTTAGTGGAACAAAATACGGTCAATAATAGAAACTATCTAAATTCCTCAGATGGACACACAGTTCTTTATTAATAAAGTTTTGTTTGTTTTGTTTTTTGCCACCTCGGAATATCTATTATAAGAACAAGATTTTAGACTCCTTCTCTCATGCCAAGTGGAATCGTTGGCATTTTAAGGGATTCACGAGCATAGCTCGGTATCAGCAAACATGGATTATACAAAACAAGAACTCCGAGACACTTTGGGATGGTTTAAGCAGGATCCATTAGAATAAAAACTGGGACGCAGTCCACATGATACTCCCAACACTTACACTCACATCTTGCAGACACTTGCACAAAGCAGTTTTTGGGTGCTGACAGCATGGAATAAACCAAGCTGCCTCACAGGTGCTACTCAGAATTCCCTTCAATATTGCTCCTTCTCTGCTCCAGGGATGTTTCAGCCACGAAGTAGAAACATGACTCCAGAGATCAACTGCTCACCATGAAATGAGTTTCAGGTCATAGTGAAAGGTAAATCAAAGCAAATAAAGAGAACTAATGCTACAGAAATTGCCTGAACGGTTTGAAAATAATGATGACGTCCACAAGCACCAAACCCTTGAGTGGCTGGTTGTTATTACGGCTATGTTTGAAGGGAGAGGTTAACCCAGTAACCCCTCACACGCAGCAAGAGCTCACCTACATGAACTGGCTTATGCCCGTGCCTAAGCCACAGGCCTGCGCGAGCAGGGATGGGCATTTGGGCACGCACAGCTGCAGCACGGAACGGCACTGAGGTGCGCAGGCGGGGACCCAGACCAGGCAGCTTGCTGCTGTGTGGACCTGCCCGCTGTGGGTCCCAGGGACATCTCATGTAGCGCCTGTGGGCCTTGCTACCATTTCACAGACTCAGAGTGGAGCAACACCCAGGAGAAGGGATTTTTCGCACCTTTCCAGCACCACATCTACAAGACAGGGGCCTTTTATCCCGAAGTGAGCGATGGCCTGTTGCTACAATTATCAGAGGGCTTTCAAATGCCTTTGCCTACTACTCAGTGGCTTCAGAACGAATCAACAGGCAACAGGAGAAAAAGGCTGTAAGCTGCTGAATGTGCAGGCTTGTCGGGATACAGGTCCATTTTGAGGCATAACTGATCATTTAACAACATATCACCTCCTTGGTCCTCCCACACAGCTGCCTGGGGAGGAACTTGCTCCGGATGATGCTTTGAACCTGTGAAATCCCTCCTAAAACCTGTCAAGTGCTGAATGTGACACAGATGAGGTGGAATCAAATTGCCCCATGAAAAGCAGATACTTCACAGTTCTTGCTTCATTGCAGCTAATGATCTGCTGACACCGGTGGGAGTTTTTAGCTGGGATTGGCTTCTGCTGAGGAGAGCACTCCAATATTCTGTTGGTAGCAACAGTGCTCTCATGGGAACCCCACTGGTAGGGAAATGGCCAGTTGTCTTAAAGCTGCTGCTTACTAAGGCTTTCCCGGTGGGATATTATTAACAGCTACCAGACAGGAGAGAACTTACAGGGGAGTCCCTGAGGATAAGGGTTCCCAGATGGCCATATCAAAAAAAAGAAAAACAAAGGAAAAAAAGAGAATCTCAGCAGCACACAAAGGTGGGACACAGGAGAAAATGTCACGGAGACCCAGCATGCCCCTTCTCTGCAGGGCACCTGAGCTTACCTGGGCCTGTGAGCTCTGCAACATGTGCAGATTGTCTGGGAGAAACCGAGATTGTCATCTCTAGTGTGATTTAGTCTGCATTAGTAATGCTGGCTGAACCAACTAATGGTTTTTAACCATCTTCCCAGAACTGGGCTGAGATCAGGAAGTGCTACTGAAATGAAAAAACGTTGCTAAATATGCAACACACTTCTAAATGGAAGAGACTTAATTACTCCAGATCACTTTATAGTCTGCTTCCATGAGTTCAGAAAAGCAGAGTCCTTAATCTCTCCAAATTGCCAGTATATCCAGTATTCCAAAAATAAAACTTCTTTTTTCCTTGGGGAATTAATACATTTTTTTCTTGCAAGAGCTTTGCTGTCTGCTATTTAGCCAACGTTTTTATATTTTAATTATTTAAAAAAAAAAAACCACCATAAAAATAAGCCACTTACACTAGTATCTCCACTCTTGGCTTTTTTATGCCCCTAAGACTCACCAAAGCAACCACATCTCAGAATAAGTGCCTAGACATCTTAAACAAGCCTGGCAAATAGCAGTCATTACACAGGAACATTAGTTGTGTGCATAAAATTTGGAAAAATGTGAGCTTATTCTGTAAACCGTGACCAATTTCTGCTTGAACACTCTTCTGTGATGGGCACAAATGCAATATGTGGGCTCGTGCTGTTTTTCTGTACAGTGGATGTGCAAGTTACACCTGGAGTTTCCCCACCCAAGTAGCTCCTCACTGCAGGCTAGAATGGGCTGTTTCCACTCAGAAAAGAAATTGGAGGAGAAGGCAGGTGATGCTTTGCTGCAGTTCCCCTCCTATCCACAGAAGCTGCAGTTTGCTGAACATTTCCTTTAGCAAATGGGCCTTTGTTTCAGCATGGACACGTGTGGGGTGGAGGTCACTATTCTTTCAGCCATCTGGTCCCATAAAGAATCATAACTGTTTCCTACAGAAAAAGGTGGTGGCTACTCCCATTATCCTCCCTTCCCCATCACGCAGAGACTTCACTCAGCTGCTAAAATGCTCTGATAGTTGGTATCTTCTCATAAACACTGCCAAGAGATCATACGTATCCAGCAAGCTCTCCTTAGCCTTGTGTTGTTTATTCATTTCTACTGTTTTTTTTCCCAAAGCTGCCACCAGTAATTCACTAGCCACAATTTCTCTTGAATTCCCATCCAAAATTGGCTCCTCTCTTATTCTAAGCAGTTGTTATTTAAGTAAAGCCTGCATCTCAATAAATAAAACTCACACATGAGAAACTCAATTACTTTCTTCACATGACTTATGGCAAGACAGGTTCTGCTAAAGGGGTGAGTCATTCAGCAAAGGGAGAGGAAAACTGTTCATTATGTATTTGTGAAATCCCCAAACCACTGAAAAGGCACCATTTACCAACAAAAAGCATCACAGGATGCACATGAACCAGCAAAGTGGGTGGAGCCTTTCCAGAAATGACTGAGACACAGGGGCACCTCGTTGGAGGCCCTTCTTTCTCAGGGTCCAGGACGTTAAAATGAGTGGGAGGTACAGGTTTCTCAGCTTACACGCTTGTAGGATTTGCCCCCTAGACATCAAAACTGCAAGTTTTCTTCTGTCCCTCAGGGGAATACCAGAACAACCTGGGCTTTCCCTGCTTCAGCTGCAGCCTCCTGAGCTGTGCACCCCTTAGCACTGACATCTAGAAAAAACAATAACCAGGATGTGCCCAAGCCTCAAAAGCAAAGCTGTTACTCCATTTCAGTTGTGTTTCTGTCCCAGCCCAGGTCAGAGGACCACAGTCACTCCTTCAGCAGACAGGACTGGATACAGCACTAGGATCTGGCCCTGATTTGAATTCAAAACCTCCAACCATCTGCTAGTTTGTGGATAACAAATTCTGGCTGTGTCTCCACTCAAAAATAAAACCACTCCCAGGAAGGCAGGCAGCTTGCACACTCATGCACAAACAGGGAGAATGTATATACACCCCTGTATGCACACCCACACTGGCTCACTGCTCCCAGAAAAGACCCGCTAGCAAGAAAGATCCAGCAGCAACACACTAATAAATAAAATTTGCAAAAGCCCGCAAGTCCCTTGCTGTCCTCACAAGCTCTAAGCACCATCATGAGTCACCTGCTGCCAAAGCTTGTTTCAGGAAAGGGAATGCAAATAGGTAAGAGCTGCAGGTCACTCAGATGGTGGCACAGGGCAGAGCACCTTGCCTTTGCCTATCTGAGCACATCAGGCTTCCTCCCCACAGTGCTGGCCTGGAGCAGAGGGACAAGCCAATCGTTGTTGCAAGTGACCAAGAAGGAGCAAATCTCAGGGGATACTTACAGCATTCGATGGGGTTCGATGCTGCTTGCAGAGAAATGATCCTGCCGTTGGACTCGGGGATGTGCACGCGGAAGACGAGCCGGACGCGGGTGTTCTTCCTGCCGATGTCTGTTTCTCCCTTGCGCAGCTCAATGTCTGCATTCCTCAGCTTCAAAATCCCCGCGCAGTCAATGCTGCCAGACACACACACCATTTAGCTTAACATTTCTGCTCTCCAACAGCTTGTAAATAGGTGACAGTCAAGAGGATTAAACTGTTTTGCTTCGATCTCCAGGTTAAGGAAAGCTCCAAACACTTGTTCTGCTTAAGATCTAAATACTGACATTTTAGCAGTTACAGGGGAAGAAATCCCAGACACGCAGTGAGTGAGGGGTGCTGCTGGACCCCTCCCCAAAGAGTATGAGCCCGCTGGCTCAGCACGTCCCAAGCATGTCCCACCCAAGGGTCAGGGGTGGCCTTTACTCTGGGGGCAGCCAAAGCCACTCTCCAAACATTATAACCCTGAGTGTTATTTCCCTCCTGTGCTAAGCACAAGAGTGCTCATGGCAGCACCCGCCCTGGCCCCTCGGGGTGGGAAAAGTGAACCAGAACAAGAAGCACACGCTGGGTAGACAATAAGGTAACCTGTGCCGGAGCCCTCAGCAAGCTACAGAGCATTAACGCCTCCACCACCAGCTCTCCAAAGAGCTCGGTGCCCAGAGACCGCACAGCAGCTATTGCCTGCACGTGGCCAAATGAGTTCAGCTCCACAAGGAATCGCAGCAGTTGAACCAGGCAATTGCATGCACCATCCAGGCACGTTTTCCCCACATTCTGTATTGAATTCATCTCCAAAGCAGGAACCAAACTGCTCTCCCTTCCTTTGGGACAAGGTAGGTGCTTTTGGAACTGGGCTCTCCAGCCCCGGCCCAGATCACCATGTCATCCTCCAAAGCCCTGGGATGTTGTTCCCAGCCAAGGCAATAGCCTGGCAATGCAGAAAATGGTTCTCTGTTCCCATTCACCACACCCCAAAGGGAGGATGTAGGGAGCAGGACGGGGATAAGCAGCAATGAAATGATTAGGATTGCTTAAACCAGCATTGCAACTTGGTGTTAAGTGCAGGTTAACTTCTTCAGAGTCCACTCTAACCTACCAAACGTGCCTGTCTACATTAAGAGAATGTACCATTTTGTATTTCCAGAATCTGAGATCTTCAGTTCAGTAATAGTTCTCAGAGAGTGCACTGTTATTAGGCAGGCACTGCCGAGGCATTTGGATATTAGGTTTAAAGACATACCATTTTTCTTCTTTTAATATGAATTAAAATCACATTTTGGGAGGCATAAACCCCAAGCTGTTTCCTACACCCACACTGTTCTTGCCATTGCATGTGCGCAGGGGTTTATTACTCCAGGGTTACTCGTTAGGAACAGTCATGTTCCATTCAGCACTTGGCTGCTTAAATTTGAGATGTGGACTTTTATTTATCTCCTTGGGTGCAGAGGGAAGGAGAGGCTTGAAGGAAAGGGAGGAATGAGGTATATTTTCTGAGAAATTTATATATAAAGAATGTGGATTTTGCGATGAAGAAGGGGGCTTAAAAACATAGCTGCTCTGCCAATTTTGTCAGTATCCTCTGAAGGATGGAGATACAGCTCTTCCCTCTGCAGAGCAATCACTCTCATGCTGCCTGGCACACATTCAAGCCTGAAGTTTCAGACTGGTGCCCACTTCATCCCCCTGCCTCCATAAAACTGGAAGTATTAATACAGAAAAGATGTGCCTGGACATATTTCTGTTAACCCATTACAACAAGACAGTGTGATTTCATGCCCAGAGCACTTGGCTGAGTTCAGAAGAGATGTTTTCTATTCCATTAAATGTTGTAAAATGAATCGTACACCTTTCCTCCACTGTCTACCGACCTTGCTTCTCATTGCATCCCTTGGGATTTGAGTCTTGTTTTCCTTAGTGCCCTACAAAACCTACAAAAACTTCTGACTTCGAAGATGACCGATTATTACCATATAGTCACTGCAGTGATTGGGGTAAAGAGCAACAACGCCTGCAGGGTCAGCTGACAAATGGTAAGCATCTCTAACCCAGGTGCTGGTAACTGCTTCTCATGCTTTTGTAAAAAGGGTCTTGCACTCGTATATCATCCTGATGCTTTGGAAAGGGGAGTCCCTCCAGAGCAGACATCATTATTCATTTAAGTGACTCCAAAGAGAAGGAACTTCACATGCCAGTTTAATCCCCCCCAACATTGCTAATAAAAAGAAATATGCTTACGTTGCTTTCATGTTGTTTTTGGGTTCCAGTGGGATCTCCAAAACTTTGGTGTTGCCAATGATTTTTTCATAGCTGGTGGTGGTGACAGTTTTTCCTGTAATACGATGGACTTGATAGAAAGCATGAGGTTTAAGTATCCGTTCATCTGCTGTCCCGATGAAGATCTGAAGACCCAAGGGTTTGTTCTCCATGTAACCATGAAGCTGGCAAGACATTAAAAATCTATTATCACACTCAGGGCTTAGATTGCCTTCACATCAGGAAACGAAGCATATCTACAGACATACATACAGATATGGAGATATATGTGTATGTAAAGGTAGGTGTAGTACAGACTGCCTCCTACTCTCAGAGACAGACACCCTCTTAAATGTATTTGCTGGAGTTCGTGATACATACAGAAGGGAGCTAATGGAAAACATGTAATTAATGCTTATAACACTAAATATATCGAGAAGAAAGAATTCCAGACAAGCTTTCCATTACCAGAAATTTGTTGATTGTCTCCAGGACAGATTGATCAATCCCCCAAAATACACATTTTTGAGTACATTTGTTTAATTTGCAGCGGTGACTGATTCCTAAATGACGTTCAAAAGATTTTTCTCTGTGGGGCAGGTAAAGCTGCAAAGCTTTGTTGACTCCCCACAGCTGCAGCCAGGGGCAGTGATCTTGCTTTTCTCATAAGCAGGAAAAGCAGCAAGGACAGAAGAAAGTCTTCCACTTACATTCCTGCAGATACATGTGGTACTTCCTTATGCACCTTCTCTAGATCTTATCAAAGCTAATGGAAAATGCCCGTTGACACAGGGGACTTTGAGTCAGGCCCTGTGATGTCCAACTTGCAAACGTTAGTTTCTGTCCAGCCTGACATTCAGTAAAATGACTTTGCCTCACCTCAGCTTGTGATTCCTACTTCAGCTGCAGTTAAAAAACAAGGGGATTTCCCCCCTAAACAGGAAGTATCTAGCAAATGTGTCTGTGATGTTTAGATCTGCAATGTTAAACTATGTATAAACATTTCAGAAATTAAATTAGTCCTGCTACATTCCTCTCTCTGGCCTTGGCACATGCAGTCTTGCCCAGCTCACATCCATTTCAAACCCACCTGGAAGGATTGTCCTCCCAACCCCTCACTTTGCTCACGTCACCGCAAGCTTCACATCTCTCCAGCTTCCCCTGTGTCCCTCACAGAATCACTAAGGTTGGAAAAGACCTGTAAGATCATCTAGTCCAACCATCAACCCAACATTACCCTCACACCAGATATAAGCTGGCTGCCTTCATCTTCAAAGCTCTGCTCTTCTCTTTGCCCTCTCACATCTCATCTTCTACTCAGTTACCAACATCTGCTCCCAAACTTCCCAAATCCAGCCCCAAACACCACCAGCAGCTTCTTAAACACTCACAACATTGTGTTTTCTGCCCATCAGCCTCTTCCTCCAGGGAAGATGCTCCCTTTTAATATGTACATCTCCACCCCACAAATCTCCCTGTCTGCAGAATTCTTAAACAGCCTTAAAAGAAACATGTTCTTGCTCTCCTGAAACCCCTTCCGTGGGCCGGCATTGATTCACTGCTCTTTGAAACTCATCCTTCCCCCCATTGTTGGTTCACCTTTAGCCGTTCCTCCTGCACTGCATTAAAATACTATCTGTACAGGTAGAGGTAGCGTTTCTGTTCTGTGACTGTACAGTACCTGGCGCCAGGAGGTCTTAGTTGACCTTAGAGACCGAGGGCTTTAGGGTTCAAGGACATAAACAGACTCTTCTGTACTAAATAACATCTTTATAAACTAAATAACATCTTTATAACATTTGCTGCAAAAGAAGCAAGTAAGCCGGAATGCCTCCATAGGCCAGGAGACAAGGACATTTCTCCTTCTTTATTAACATTCAAAATTACAAATCAAACCATTCTAAATTTCTCACATAACCAAAAATGAAAACCAGACATTTATCTACCGCACAGCCAGTGATCTAGCTGAAAGGGAACTTTATGGTCTGAGACATGCTAAATTTGTTTTCAATTATTCCGTCCACATACAAAACCTTGATGAAGCCATACAAAGCAAACAGTACTGGAAGATCAGAGAAAAGGAAGATTAAGCTAATGGTATTCATGGCCAAACCTTTTTTCTTTTCTTTTTTCTTTTCACCAGTCAGCGGGAGGTATCTTTGCACAGAAGGATTAATTCCCCCCTGGAAGGGGACCACATGCAGCATCAATGCAATCCTGGCAACCTTCCTCCAGTATGGCAAATGTAAAGCGACACTCACTCTTCTGAGCTATCATTACTCATCTAGCACATATTTGCGAGGCATACAAAGACGGGGTCTATGCCCCAGAGACCTTACAACCCAAGGGCCCGAATTTGCAGCCTCCACTTATATGAATAGCTCCATTGAAGTCAACAGGCCTTAAGTAGGGGTTGTGCAAGAAAGAGACAGAATCCACCCCAGCCACAGCTCAGACACCTACAATAGCTCACTCGCACAAGCGCTTCGGCAGATTGCAAGGATGGAAAATAGGGTACGAGGCTTTGTGCAAACATGCCAGTTGGCTCTGGGAGTGAGGTGGAGGAGGAGCGGAGCTGGACTCCCGGCACAAGGGTTGGTATTGGAGAAGCAGCGTTGCCAAGAATGTGATAAATACGATGGCAGCCATGGGGAGATTTAGAAATGTATAGAGTGTATAGAAGATTAAAGGCAACAGAGGTCAAAATGATAGATCTACTGGGAACAGGCAAGAATGTAGGAATCAGCCTCTCTTTATCCATGGAGGCTCATTAAGTCCAGATCCTCTGGGAGCCATACTGAAACTCATCATAAGTATGGTACTTTCAAAATCCAAGATTTCCTGGCCTTTAGTGAAAAGCCATTGTGTGACCAACAGCCATCTTGTCTTTACAGGGAGAGCGGGAAAAGAGTACTTCTGAAGCACTGAGCATGTTTATTGTCAAGCCTGACAGAGTAATTCTTTCTGGATCCAGCTAAGGTGACGAGAGGATCCTTTGGACTGGAACGGTTATTACAGTGACAGCAAGCAGCTTTCGCTCTACCCTCTGTCCTGGCAGAACAAAATCCCAGAGTTACAGGTGGGAGACTGGAATGGAGGAAAACAGATAATAAATTACAAAAGAAAACTTGGCCCCAGTGAGCACAGTCAGTAGCAGCTGTAACAGAACTGGCTCCGTACAGAGTTTTTAATACGGGCCACCTTTAAAAGTAATTTTAAGTGGTGTTTGCTCATGTATAGAATGAGCCTTGGGAACCATGGCAAAACTATTCACGGTCTTCTAATAATACGTATGTCTGTGGGTGTGTGTCTGTGTAAATGTACACATCCTTAAAAGAAGGGAGGAATCGACTGCCTGTTCATATGGCAATGTTTGTATCATCTGCTGGACGAGGGGGTATAAAACACATAGTAAAAGGCCTTCTGGTCCTCCACGGGACCAGATTTTAAGTCAACTGTTTGACCAGTGGAAGAAAGTAACATAATTATTTGGTAATTTATGGCATTATAGAGCCTTGGCATTATGGCAAAGCTTTGGGATGACATGACTGTAAAATCAAAACAGCAATGCAAATACGAAGAGAAAAATTAAGTAAAAGAGTCAAGTATGCCTATTTAAAATGGTGCATCCTTACCTTCAGCTAATGTTTTAAAGGATAATGTAGGTGATCATTTACCATAAGCATTTCCATCTAGCTTTCACTTGCTAAGAACACATCTGGATGACTTAGGAACAAAGAATGAAAATGGACAGCACACAGAAATGCTCCAGGAACTTTAAAATCAGAGTTTTACACCCAGCTCTGCCACCAATTTAATACTTCATTCATGTCTTCAGAAGGTTGTCATGGCATATAACCTCTCTGTTTATCTGTAACAGGGGAACAATGATGCTAACTCTACTTAGCAGGGACAGAAATGAGTTAATATTTTGTGCTGGGGTTTTATGTAGAAAAATTCACTGTGAACTAGAATGAAAGAACACGTTAAAGTTATGTTTCAGATATATGTCTCCTCAAAACTGAACTACAAGAGACTGTTAGTCTCAATAAACACTCACCTCCACTATGCCAGGCAGCTGGTTTAGTATTTAACCATAATGCTGATCTTTTCTTTGGCGGAGCCAAGGAGTACAAGTAAACCTTAAAAAATCCTAAAAAAAACCCTACAGAGAAGTGAAGGCTTAAAACTTTTTTATATAATAACTTTGAAATTCATGTTTTCCTCCCTTAGCAACACCAAGCCACTCGAAAGGCTCAGTTGTTCAGTCGTACTCTTCTGCTCATCGCAGGGGAAGGGAGCAGCAGCTTGCCCTGCAGCTGCCCAAGGGGAGGGAGCGATGCCCTGCAACGGGCACTTCAGCAGAAAGAACAGAGGACCAGCCCCATGCCAAGGTGTTCCCTTACTCTTCTTTCCGTGAAGAAAATGAAACTGTCTGAATTTCAGTTTCAAGAGAGTGAGAATCAAGAAAGATTTGTGAATACAGAACTCTGGAAGGAAATATTTTTGTGTATTATAAGGTGACCTATTCACAATAAAACTCCCCCAAACTGTATACAGATCGAGCTGGAAAAAACCCAACTCCTTTGAGTCACATTTGCCACAAGGGGAAAGAGAAGCCAGACATGATGTGTACCTTTCCATACTCTATTTTGGGATTTTAAGATCCTATTTCTTTCAGTTGAAAGATTTTTCTTAAACTTTGCTTTTGCATAACTCTTATAATATTAACATAGCCAGACATGGGCTGGTCTGTGACCTAAGGAAATGCAAAGCACTTTGGCAGATAAACAAATAACATCATTCAGAAAACAAGGAGACTTTTCTTGTTTGGTTTGCTGCTATGATTGGGTTTCTAAACAAAATGGAAACGTGTGGCATGATTAAAATCATTGGCTTACTGCATAAATAAAATTAATTCATTCTGCACTCCATCCATGGATCAATAACAGAAAAATTTGGGAGAAGGGGGTATTTAAGTGCCATTTTCACGAAGGCACGTGTGTAATTCTGCATGCAAAAAACTGAGCAGAGGTGCCTTTAGCTGCTGTGTATCAGCAGCCCAGTTACCCGCCTGAACACAGTCCCTGTGACAGTACCAGCAACCGCAGCCATTGAGACCACACATTAGGCATATGAAACAACACTCTTTTTCCTGCATTACTTCAAAACTCAGGTGTTCTTA